GATGATAGGGGTGACTACTATAGTTAGTTTCTCCGCTCGAATTTGGTCATGATTTATGAACATCCAGTGATACGGTCTAATGACCTGTGTTAAAATAATGAACTGGAATTAACCAAGCAATCAAAGGGGTTTGTATTGGCAACAATAGTCTGTTGGATTATGATTAGGCAACTGTGTTGTACTTACCGTAAGTTAGAGGGACATTGGCAAGTTCGGATTCTTGTTCAAAAGTACGACGTTCATCGGTTATCTGCTTAATATAAATATCCTCTGAATCTCCGCTTGATATTTACATCTTATTTACGTGCTGTGGCATCCTGCAATGGCTCGTAAGTGTAGTATACTACGAGCGTACATCAATGGTGATGAATATTTTTTAACTTTTTTTCATTACACACCTAGGTGTGGTAAACAGCAGACGGGGTAAACCCCATAGTCACGAAGACCTGCTGTTCAGTAGTTGAAATCGGCAACCTAAGCCCCAGAACTTGGAGTGGCGAACCACATAAGGCCCCGGCAGGTTAGGCGTGGTATTGAACCGGGCGACAGCAGAGCTGCCTACCACCAAAGTCGGGTGGCGGTGGCGGGGCTCGAACCTCGGACCATAGGGTTCAAAGCACGCCGGTGACAGCGACTAAACCACTGCACCACCACCAATGGTTGATGATCGCTTCATCACTTGGTGTGAAGAAAAGGACAGCGTGACATGGATATGAAGACATCAAGACGAACCGAATTCACCCACGGAGGAAGGCAGTTCAACAAGTTATGAAATCACCATTTAGAGGAACTCATTTCATGGATTGAGGAGAATCGACTGTGACACTGTCGTTTCTACGGATGAAACTCAAGGCTGAATACGACAAAGAAGTTTCCATCACAATTAGCAGCAACTATTTAGATGGGAAACTGAATACCATCAAAAAGATTCATCAAATACCAGTAACGATGAACTGGATAATAAAGAGAAGAGGAAAAGGTAATGTAACCACCGGTTTTTGAATCATTTCTTCCTAGATATGTTCAACACCTGCAATGGTACGAGGCACTTGGACATGAGATTATCTGGATTGATGAAACCAACTTCAACCTACCTTGTTCAACAAGTTATGGGCGTGCACCAAGTGGTCAAATGTGTCGGATACCAGTGGCCAGTTCAAGAGGAAGAAATCTGCACATCATAGGTACTATGAATGCGGATAGATTGTTAAACTATGCTCTGAAAGGGTGTCCTACAACTCCGTATTGTGTCTGCAATGGTTGCAAACGCTAGTTGATCAACTGTTGCAGTAAGAGCACAAATCATACGTGATTGTGTAGGACAACGCACCCTGTCATTATAAACAGGAAAACCTCGTTTCCGGAGGAAGAGTGAGCATTATCAGACTTGCTCCGTATTCTCCAGCCTTGAATTCGATTGAAATGATATGGAGCATTACGAAAAGTTACCTCAAAATGGAGCTCCAAAATCAGCTTACCAAGATTATGAAGGGTGATCCCGAAGGAAAAATGAACCAACAGGACTGGAGGATGGCATGTTTGGAAAGCATTGCTGGTGGTGCCGAGTCTCACATCACGAAGGATCACTGTCAGTGTGTTGTTTGAATTGATCGTTTGTTTTACCGCATCAATTGTATTTTTATGATTGGTCCGCAGAAGACTTTAATTTTGCCCGTCGAACAATTTGATTCGTTCAGTGTTATACATAAACCCTGTGATTCCCTTACCAAATGCGATTCGTGTTCAGTGGACTAGAGAAAATATATCGAGAGCATTTCCTGAACAACTGACTTTTGACATGGAGGCCGCGGAAAATGATGCAAAATTCCTAATATCGGAGAGAATTAATAATCGACTGCAGGTCCAACCGCCGGCGTACCTGACTATGGAGGAGACGGGGCGATTGGCTGATAACTGGAGACTGGCGAACTTAGTATGGAGATTTTCATACACTGACAGCGATGGACCGCGAATCCAGTCCCGTACAATTGGCTTGGTTCCGTCACACAATTGGTCCGGCTGCTTTGCGTGTCGTAAATGGATTCACTTACAGTCCGGATGAGGACCGTGGATATTGGCAGGTGGTGATATCGAAGATGGAACAGTACTGTTTTGGCGAATCCAACGAGACTTACGAACGAGACATTTTCAACCAGAGGAGACAGCAGCATGGTGAGCCCCTCGACGCATTCGTCCTGTAGCTAAAATCACTGGCTCCGTCGTGCAATTTCTGTTCCTGTCTGGAACAGAGTCTAATAAGGGATCGAATTATCGTTGGTCTACGGAATTCTGCTGTGGCGAAACGCCTCCTAAAAATTCCAAAGCTGACAGTAAAACAATGCATCGACATATGTCGGAGTGAAGAGGCAGCAGAGAAGTATATGGAGACGCTTACCACGACAGAGGATTATGGATTGTGCAAATTACCGCTGAAAATCAAACACATCCAACAGCTGCTTGCCGTTTCTGTGGCCGCATACATCTTATGGGAAGAAGCAACTGTCCTGCTTGGGGAAAAACGTGTGATAACTGCGAAAAGCGTAGTTATTTTGCAGCAAAGTGTTTCGGGAAGAAAGAATCAACTTTAGAACCTCACGTTCGAGCAGCTGATCGTGTCAATAGTGTACAACTACCGGCCAAACAGAAAGGCATATTTGCAAAAATGTTGGTAACTGGGGAAGAAGTAACGTTCCAACTAGATTCTGGTGCGTCCGTCAACATAATACCGAAAAATTGTCCACCCGATACCAAATTGGATCCTACCCAGACGAGATTAGTTATGTGGAACGATGCAAACGTGGAGCCGAAAGGAGAAACCACTATTACACTGAAGAATCCTAGGAATGGAGTCTCTTCTGTCGTGAGTTTTGTCGTCGTGGAGCCGGGTTATGTTCCAATTCTTGGATACGAGTCCATCGAGCGACTTGGTTTGGTATCGTTTAACTATGATTCATTTTTTCATCACGTTTGTAAAGACCGTGAATACTACCTGAAAAAGTATGCCTCTGCTTCCGATGGGAAACTGGAAAAGTTGCCAGGAACTGACACTTCACATAAACGACGCAGCCGAGCCCGTTGTTTTACCAACGCGGCGGACCCCACTTGCTGTTAAAGAGGAATTTTCGCGCGAAGTGAATAACCTTATGTAATAATCGAATAGGAACCGGAATTGAACAGCGCGAACTTGAACTCGGACTGAAAACCCACTGAATTACGCAACGCAAGGTAAAACCAAGACGAGTTGTGGATACAGATGATTCTATTGAGAAAAGCACGCAAATATATATCACATGCGACCAACAGTTATCGGTCGGTTCCTGGACGTCCAATCGGCGACAATGTGGTTTATTATTATACCTTCATGTATTCGGCCAATCTGGTTGATGCCAATCGGGACTACAGGATTGGTCGGTTATTCTATTCTTGATTGGTTAGCCGGAAGCTGTACCGCGGTGCGTGAGTATTCGTTGCACGATCACCATACCTTATCACAAAGGACGTTTTGGAGAAAGTCGATGAATCAACGGACTGGGTGAGCCAGGTTATGATGGTGACGAAAAAGTCTGGAGAATTGAGAATATGTATCGATCCGAAACCATTAAACAAGACATTAAGACTGGAGCACTTTACCTCACTCATTTTTGACGACATACTGCCGGAATTGGCTAATGCAGGATACTTCACGAAGGCGGGTTTAGCCTTTGCATTTTGGCATTTAGAGCTAGACGATAGATCAAGCTACTTGACCACTTTTGGCACGCCACTCGGGTGATATCGTTGGAAAAGACTGACGTTCGGTTTGAAAGTGTCAAGTGAAATTTTTCAGAAACGAATCCTCCAAGCGGTAGATGATATACCCGGTATATTGTGTGTGGCGGACGACATTCTAATTTTTGGCAAAAATGCAGATGAACATAACAAACGGTTCGAAGGCTTTTTACAGCGTTGTATATGAGACGGAATCAAGCTGAAACAGGACAAACTAATCTTTTGTCAATCGGAAATCAGCTTTCACGGTCATGTACTTACAAATGAAAGGATCAAATCGGACCCGCAAAAGGTAAAAGCGATTGTAGAAATGCCTCCCCCAACTGATGCAAAAGGCGTATCACGAATCAATGGAACGATAAACTATCTCAGTAGATTTCTTCCAGAACTAGCGGAATTGATGCGGCCGATTTGACGTTTGATGCATAAAGAAGAACCGTGGTTTTGGACACAAGAACAACAGGCGGCTTTTGATCGCATCAAGCAACTTATTGTAAAAGCCCCCAGTGCCGGCCTATTTCGATCCCAATGTACCTCTATGCATACAATGTGACAGCAGTCAATTTGGATTAGGTACCGTGCTCCTTCAAAATGGCAGTCCATAAATTACCGGAGTAGGACACTAACGGCCTGTGAACAAAGGTACTCCCAGAGCGAGAAAGAAATGCTAGCAATTGTGTATGCGCTGGAGAATTTCAATGGTTACACATTTGGTCGACTCACGTTTGTATACTCAGATCACAAACCACTGATTATGGTTGTGGATAAGCCACTCCACAGAGCACCAAGGAGGTCACAATCGATGCTAATACGTCTACAGAAATACAATCATGAACTGCATTAAGAACAAGGTAAACGCATGTTTGTGGCGGACACGTCACGAGTCACACTACCGGACACCGGACAGAAACAACAGCTGGAATCCGTGAACGTTGCATTGGCGGTGACGCAGTGCGATTTATCCCACATACGAACTGCATCTATTGACGATCCACGCATGCAAGAACTCAAAGGAGTTATCACTCATGGTTGGCCAGAAAGCAAAAAAGCCCTTCCGATGGACGTACTGCCCAACTTCAAATTCCGAGATGAACTAACTGTGCACAATGAACTGATTTTTCGTGGTGAAAGTTTGGTTGTACCAAAAGCGATTCGACAAAACGTAGTGCGTCTCATACATTGCCCTCACGCCGGTACCAACGGATGCCTCAGCCTCGCCAGGGAGACATTATTGGTTGGGTATGTCAGAACAGACAAAACAGTTGATTGCTAAATGTGAAATATGCAGGAAGTTTGACCAGCGACAAACGAAGGAACCAATGAATATGAGTGCAATACCAGAGAGACCATGGCAGATGATAGCGCTGGATATTTTTATCATGGAAAGGACACCTAATTGATAACTGTTGAATACTACAGCGACTTTTTCGAAGTTGATTTATTGCGATCCAGCACATCGGCTGAGATCATTGATAAACTGCACGTTCATTTCGCACGACACGGAATACCACTTCAGGTGATTTCCGATGGTGGCCCCCAATTTCGTAGTACCGAATTCCTGAAATTCGTTGAACAATGGCGTTTTGAGCACCACGTTACTAGCCCCTATCATAGTCAGTCCAATGTCAAAGCAGAAAGCGCAGTCAAACAAGCAAAGATGCTTATCAAAAAATGCGGTGCGGATGGTAGAAACCCACTAATGGCCCTGCTCGGGTTACGTAACATACCGTCGGCCAACATGGGAATCAGCCCAAGCCAACGTTTATTTGGCAGACGCACACGCACGGTTCTACCCATTTGCGACCAGTTACCACGGCCACAGACTACGCCATCAATAATCATACAGTCAAGGCTAAGGAAACGCATGGCGCTACAGAAGAGGTATTACGACTGCAGCAGTAAACCTCTGTGCTCACTCAAATTGGGAGACACGGTTTGGATACAAACACTGGAGCCAACGGAGGTGTGGGCGAAGGGAGAAGTGATAGCGCGAGCAACAAAAGAATCGTACCTAGTACGCTGGGGTCAACGGATAATACAGAGAAATAGAGTTCATTTGAGGAAAGGGGAAGAGAATGGTGACGAAGACGAAAAAAGAGATGATCTAAATACCGTTCAGGAGGATGTAGAAATCTGTGTACAAGAACCGCAGCCAGGAATACCAACGACATGTATGACAGCACAATCTCCATCCCGAACACGAAGCGGAAGAATATACCAATCAGAATCATAATAAACAACATTCAAAAGAAGAAGGATGTGCTGTTTGAATTGATCGTTTCTTTTACCGCATCAGTTGTATTTTTATGATTGGTCCGCGGAAGACTTTAATTTTGCCCGTCGAACAATTCGACTGACTTTTGACAGTCAGCATGCAACTAACCATGTTCGTGTACATTATCCGACAGCTATCAAAATGCTTGATTTTCAATACATTTGATCTTTGTCTAACCACTGAACATTTTGTGAATGAGAGATATAAGTCGGAACGTTCTGTCATTATTGAGGTCAATAGGCCGGGTGCATTAGATAGTTCGTAGACTTTAGGGCACATTTACAATAACAGTGTGTTGGGTATCCACTTTGCATTCGTTGATAATTTAATACATAACCAGTCCCTCGGTAGGAAGTGTTTTCCAGTGCACGTGGTGATTAAAGAAAAATCGAGGCAGAAAGTTCATGGCTCGTTAAAACCGAACGATCATGTAAACACATAAGATTAGGATGGGCAGGTCGACATTTTGCTGATCGTTGGGGTGTAAACGGTACAAGCTATCAACCGTTGGGGTCGATTCCAGTTTGGTCAAAATAATCACGTACATTTGGAGTCGAACGAAGAAACTAACTATAGTAGTCACCCCTATCATCTTATGCATGCTAAGCATCTTATGAAGTGTGCATTTCAATGTCAGAAATACGTAAGCAATCGCATTTGATTCAAAGGAATCGGTTTTATTCGAGAGAAACTCGGCCTCAATAGAATTTACTCATTGGGTTATTGTGGACTTAGACTGACTCCACTCATACAAAGAATCATGCGCACATTCACGTCTGGGCATGGTGACCGACTTATCGATCCATCTTGGTGTGATTCGTTTCCTTACAGGACCGACAAAGGTCAGTTGACTCCGGGTTAGTTCATTCGTATCTATGACGCACACTCAATCAACGATCACGAACATCACGTTCCCGAGTGGAACGAGTGTATGGGGGAGGCGGGGGTAGAACGGCCCACCTCGACCCACCCACCCCCCTCCCGAAACATTCAGCCTGGCTCGGTAACTCGCGAAAAATGTACTTTTGTTTGTTTACCGAGAAATTAGTTCATTCGAACTGGAGAGATTTAGACAGACCCGGTCCAATCGGTGACATTTGACGGCCAAAACACCAAACATCTTGTCGGGGTTTCCAATGGAGTGCGATTGGTTGGATTCACTTGAAGTTACAAGAGATCCACTTACAGTTGAAAGGGTATACTTCCACCTCATTGAAATTGTCAAAAGTACTTTTGTTTTTCTATGGTGAAATCAGTTCACTGCGACTTTCCGGTTTTATGATATTCCGGCCCAATCAGTGACATGAGATGGCAGAAAAATCTATCACTTTGTTGGTTTCTTTGTCGAATGCGATTGAGTGAATTCACTTGTAGTTGCAACGGTTTCACTTGAATTTATAATGGAGTAAATTGATCTGCCGAGAGGAAATGACAGTTCGAATACCTTTATGTAAAATGGAAGGTGTTGGCTCTTGGTGGATTCGGTGATGAAGAGAAATGATACCCAGTGACAGAAAAAACTGATACATAGGCAGAAATTGTGCGTAGAACCCTTTGCTTATTATCCTGAACGCGCTCGATGAAGCCAAATTCCATAACTCTAGATGTACATTCAGCCCATTGTTATATTCACGTCTGAAGTTGAAAATACTAAAAATCCCTCCTTTTACGGTAGTTGTTCGTTTATTTTCCCGCCTGAAGATATTTACAATAAGCACATTATTAGGCGTCCGTCGGGAAGTATCCGTTAGTAACCACCGCAAAGTTATGTGCCATTTTCGTGTATTGGTGAAACTAATTTTCCAGAAGTACTCGTATCAGTATACAGGAATAAAATAGGACTGTCTGGGCATTGTGAATAAAGTCGGTTACTGTCTTTCCAACCCCGACTACGTACTCTCCCGAAACACTGAAACAAATATCAATTAACTCCTAATGAAATCCGCAGTCAACGTGGGGAAAAATTGAGATCTAAATTTTGTAATACCTGAATTACTCTCCCGCTCGTTCCGCTAACCAAATTCGCAATTAATCATGCACGGTGTGTTGCATTGTCAGAATAATAAAAC